TGACTTCCGTAGTAAGTTCGTTCTAATTGGTCAATATTAGCCGGGTAATTGATAGGTCCAAGATTTACTATCTCACAATATCTTGGAGAAAAAAATAAAGGAAAAATGTATAATGATCTTCAAGATATACAGAAGGCTACTGTATATATTGGAGAAAAAATAAAGGAAAAATGCATAATGATCTTCAAGGCTACTGTATATCTTGGAGAAAAAAATAAAGGAAAAATGTATAATGATCTTCAAGATATACAGAAGGCTACTGTATATCTTGGAGAAAAAATAAAGGAAAAAGTGTAATGATCTTCAAGATATACAGAAAGCTACTGTATATCTTGGGAAAAAAAAAAATAAAAGAAAAAATGTAATGACCTTCAAGATATACAGAAGGATACTATATATCTTGGAGAAAAAATAAAGGAAAAAGCATGAGATATACAGAAGGCTACTGTATATCTTGGAGACAAAATAAAGGAAAAAGCGTAATCATCTTCAAGATATACAGAAGGCTATTGTATATCTTGGAGACAAAATAAAGGAAAAAGCGTAATCATCTTCAAGATATACAGAAGACTACTGTATATCTTGGAAAAAAAAATAAAGGAAAAAAGTGCAATGATCTTCAAGATATACAGAAGGTAGATAGATATAAAACAGCAAATTTCAAATGTACAAAACAACATTTATTTTCATAATAATAATACATTTTCTTAAAAGTGTACATAGATTAATAAATACATAATTGAGACTTATAAGTCTATAATAATAAGGATGTAAATTGAATAATATAAATTAAATGAATATATAATTGATGAACATTATTTCTCATAAGGAATGTAAATTAAATAAATTAAATGAATATGTAATTGAGAAAAAATTATGTCTTGCAAGTTCATATGGAAGTAATTGAATTTAGGAATATGTTGTGAAAGAAAATAAAGTAATTGAATTTAGTAATATGTCATGAAAGAAAATAAAGTAATTGAATTTTTAGTAATGTGTCGCAAAAAATAAAGTAATTGAATTTAGTAATGTGTCGCGAAAAATAAAGTAATTGAATTTAGTAATGTGTCGCGAAAAATAAAGTAATTGAATTAGTAACGTATTGCGAAAAATAAAGTAATCGAATTTGCGAAAAATAAGTAATTGAATTTAGTGTCGCGAAAAATAATTTAGTAATGTCTCGCGAAAAATAAAGTAATTGAATTTATTAATGTTTCGCGAAAAATAAGGTAATTGAATTTAGTAATGTGTCGCGAAAAATAAAATAATTGAATTTAGTAATGTCTCACGAGAAATAAAGTAATCGAATTTAGTAATGTCTCACGAAAAAACAATTTAGTAATGTGTCGCAAAAAGTTTAAAATTTTCTTGTAATTATTTACTGAATTTCTTATAAATAAAAAAACTAGGAATTGTACTTTTGTTTGTAATAATTTATTTCAGCTAATAAAAAAAAAAAAATGTCATCAATTGATCAATCAAATAAAAAAAGAAAAATTTTGACTTGGGGTGAAAAAAAACAACTTTGTGAATTTAATGAAAGAAATCCATCATTCACATATAAAGAACTTGTTCAAAAATTTGGAATTGCAGAACCTACTGTTTGCAAGATTTTAAAAGATAAAGATAAATGGTTATCTATCAACCCTAATGATACCAACAGACAAAAAGATAAAGCTGCAAAATATCCTGATCTTGAAAGTGCATTGATGATATGGTTCAATCAAGCAATTTCAGATAAAAGAGTAATTACAGGTGATATAATTCTCACTAAAGCTAAAAGAATTGCTGAATTACTAGATATCAATGATTTTAAAGGTTCAGATGGTTGGGTGTCAAATTTTAAGAAAAGAAATAACATAAAGTAGTATGTTATGCATGGTGAAGCAAGCTCTGCACCTTCTGAAGAAAGAAAAAGATTACAAGAAATAATTAAGGAATTTCCTCTAGAAGATGTTTATAATTGTGATGAAACTGGTAAAATAATTCAGTATAATTATTATTATATCATTTATAATAGACTAAGTATTTATTTTATTAGGCTTGCTCTGGAATTTAGAACCTTCAAAGACATTATCAACTGTCCTCTTTTTGGTATTAAAAAATCAAAAAAAAAGAATAACCCTTTTACTGATCATTAATGCAACAGGAACTGAAAAACTTCCTCTTTTATTTATTCATAAGTATCAAATGCCAAGTGACATGCATGGAGTTGACAAGTCAAAGCTTCCAGTTGATTACTATTGGAACACAAAAGCCTGGATGCAGGTTTCTATTTGGAATCAATATTTGATAAACTTGAACCAGAAAATGGCCAGGGAAATAAAAATATTTTATTATTGTTTGATAATGACCAGTACACATTATTGATCAAGCAAGCATTTTAACAAATATCATGCTTCATCACCTTCCTCCTAATACAACTGCTCATCTACAACCTGCTGATGCAGGAATTACAAATTCCTTTAAAGTAAAGTATTATAAATGATAAATATTTTATTTGCTTAAATATTTATTCTAACTATCATTTTTTCCAGGCTCATTATAGAAAATTTCTTGTAAGTAACAGAACTGATGTTTACAATTTACACCAAAGCCTTGATATGCCTCTTGAACAATTTAAAATCTCTGATGCAATTGAACTTTGTGCTAAAGCTTGGAATGAAGTAACTTCTGAAACTATTAGAAACTGTTGGTTAAAGACAAGAATTTTACCTACTTTAGATGATGTCATGGAAATAGAAACAAGTGGTACAAGTGAACAACTCATTCAAGAAGAATATCATGAACTTCAGAGTCTAATTAATGGACTAAGAAATATTGAAGCTTCTGATAGATAAAACTTCACTTGCACAATTTCTTGAAAAACAACTTTTGACTGATTGTCCTGATATGAGAATCATTAGAATTTCATTATTGTGGATGGAGGATGATGATTCAAATTGGAAATTTTCTGACCGCTTCAGTTGGCTCATGAGAGGAACTGGTTGGTGTCAATTTGTAGCAGAGCGTTTACATATTGAAATTGTTTTAATTGCTGATGAGGTACAAAAATTTTATAGGTTAGACTCAGAAAATGCTGGACCACATCATGAAGGAAAAGAATTTTGGAACACATTTAAGGATATCCAACAATATAGTAGACTATACATTGTAGCATTTGCATCTTATGGTTATCATGGTGCATATGATTATAGTCCAAACAGTGATGGTGTTATGAAAATTTCACCTTTTCAATTGAGTGAACATAACACATGGGGATTGAAAGAGATTCGGTTCACTTCTGAAGAATACAATGGTTATGCAACAAATTTTTCTAGAAGTAAGTTGAATTTATCATCACAACAGGATGAAGATAATTTGCTAAATTATATTAGACAATGTACTTTATGTCACCCAGGATTAGTCACATTCATATTAAATCACATATTTGAAAGATTTATATCTCAGATTAAACAAAATGAAAAAAGATTAACATTTTCTGAAATATTTAAATATTTAAAATCATATAATTTTTATGCAAATTTAATGGCAAGGAATAATTTATTATTGTATTTTTTGAAATTCTGGTTGTAATAATGAATTTTTTTCTTTTGTCTGTGATTTTAGGGAACCAGGGCTGCTCTTGGCCTTAAAAACATGGACAAAGATGAAACATATTTATGTGACACTGTATTGTTTAATCGAACTGGAATACCAATCTGTCTTGAGACAGTCCCTAATTATGGATGTTTATATAAGACCAATTTATTATCAATTGTAGCTTCTGGGCCCAATGATAAATTCCTTGGTTTTGCAGCTCCTTTACTTAGAGCTGCATATTTACAAACCAGAGTGGGTTCAACAAACCATTCAACTAAAACACCAGAAACATTTAGAGATTTTTTGAAATTGACATTTGTCAATATGAATCCTGAAACTCTTTGCAAATCCCTTGGTGTTGGTAGTGATGGTCATCTTCTAGAAAGGGTATTTCAAATGGAGTTTTATCGCTCTGCTACATATGTTCTTCCACAAGATGTTTTCATTTCAGTTGATGTTGGTGCAGTATTTGGCAATGATGGTTATGTTGATTTTTATATTGATGATAAAAAAGATTGGGCAATTGAACTCTTATGTGACAGTCAAAACATTAAAAAGACACATTAATAGATTTCAAAAGGGTGGCAAATATGATTCAATCATTGATATTGCCAATGAATATGTAGTTATCAATATAACCCAGGATAAACAATATTAATCATCTTTTTCTGGAAAGAACTACATATATATAGAATTTAACCAAAACTTTAATAAGGTGGTTATGAATTTTCCAGATGGTGAGAAAACAGAAATGTCTTTAGGAGGTAGTGGAATATTAAGTGTTGAAATGCAATTTTGATTTATGTGAGATAAGTGGACAAGTAAAACAAATGTATATCATCAAATAAATGCTCTTTTTAATTTAGTGTCAAATAAGCATTAAAATAACTCTAAACTTTCATGAAAACAAGGGTTATGCAAATAATTAATACTAATCAAATAAAAATAAAGCTGTTTTGACTTTCTTCTGTCTTTGATGCTAACTCAGACTGGTATCTCATTCCTCTTTTTTCTATTATTATTGATCAATGAACGGATTACGTTAGCAAAAATTGGTTATTGTTAAGGCAAACTCTTCTATATACAACGTCTTATTTCCCGTACCACCACTGTTTATTAACACATATAAAAGACGACACGAAACTCGTAACACCGTTTCTTTCCTTATTTGGAATTGATGCGCATAACTTTGGTTTTGTTTGTTACTTTTGTATTTTTTCTTATAAATAAATGCCTATATTTGTAATAAAGCAGTGGTACGAGAAAGAAGACGTTGTATAGAGAGTAGTCAAGTTGTAGGAGGGAACGAAACATACGAACGAGCAGTGCGGACTAATGAGACAAGAAAAATCAACTTTTATTAAAACAGAATTTTTTGGGAAGCGCGAGATAAAAAAAACAAGGTGCTTGATTTTTTTTTTTTTTTTTCCTCCCTGAAATGATCGACGTTGTTGTGTTTTTTAATTAAAAAAAAAAATGTATATAAATAATGATATACATGTTGTGTCACAAAAAAAAATAATGTTTTTGAACGAAAAATAGTCTAATTAATTAACACAAAAAAAAAGATTTAACATTTGCCGTGTCACGATCTCCTTCCAAAACTCGCAAGTCGTGCGACTTCCGTGCAGTTTTCTCGCCAATTGTCTCCTTTTGCGTCTAGCCGCGCCTGGTCTTTTCGGTTTTTGGCGCGATCAACGTTTTTGCCATATTTAGCAAAAATTGTGTCATACGGCAAATGGTTTGTTTTATAAAACAGGTTGCAATTGCAATTGAAACCGAAAAATCTTTTTTTTTAAGCCTAATTTTTTGGGAAGGAATTTTTTGCTTTCGCTGGGTGGTAATTTCAGAAAAATTTTTTTTTTTTTATTTTTCTAAAAAAAAATTTGATCTACATAATTTTTATTGCAAAGAAAAAAAAATACAAATAGGAATGAAAAAAAAAATTACAAAGAATAAATAAAAATTATTCAGTGTCACAACTCTCGCCGTCATCGTTTACCACTGTTTCATTCTCATTCTCATTATTATTATTATTATCGTCATCATTTTCAATGTTGTACGAATTTTCTACTGCATCCGTATAACATTTATTGTTGCTGACAACTTCCTTCATTGTATGTGTCAGTTTCGTTGCCGTTGATGTGCTTGATTTTTCCTGTGGGTCATGGTCTGCACTTCTTCTTTTTTTACCCGACTCCCTGCTGTTGGAACTCATGAATTGTTCCTCAAAATCCAGATGTTTGGATTTTAATGCTTTGCGTGGGGATTTCTTATCATCGTTGTTGTTGGTCTTTTCAACCCTCGGGTAAGTCCACTCGATTTCGCTTTATCAATTATTCAAATAATTATATAGGCGGGCTTGGTAGAAGTAAGTGTTAAAGTCAAGTTCTATTTGCAAATCAAGTTTCCAAAATGAACGTTTATTATTATAGGCGGGTTTGATCAAAGTAAGTCTTAAAGTCGAGATCTACGAAGCTGTTTGTAAAATATATTTAATTAACGTTTTATTATTAATAATTATTCAATAACTATATAGACGGGTTTGATCGGTCAAGATCTATATAATTAGATTGTTAATAATTAATAATGGAATTTTATTACACGCAAAAAAAATTTTTTTGAGTTGTAAATTTTGTTTTATTAAATAAATTTGTTTAATTTTTTCATACATCGTTCACGTTTCCTCTTGATCGTACATCTTAAATTGGTCGCGTTTACGATCATTGATATTCGTTATATTAATGTTATTTTGATTACATCGAAAGATATGGTCAAGAGAAAAGAGAGTTATTTTCGAGTAGTACGATTTAATTTATTAGACTATTTCAAATGGTTGCTTTCAACTTTTTAAATTCGAACTATTTGTTAACGAAACAACTGTTTGTGAAGTGATTGTTGACAAAATGAATCAATGTTTTATATTAACGTTTATTTTTACGTACGTTATCAAATCCACGATTTTGATTGGTCAATCAACAATTGCGTGGGGTTAAATTTTTTATATATATGTAGATGATTGAATTCAATTGAATCATGTATTTTTATTATGAAACACTCGGGCAATGGTATTTTATTTTTTGACCATCTTGTATAACGTTGTATAATGATAAATGATTTCATGGTTTGAATGTGCTCACCATCTGTAAACTTGATTGTTTGAAGATGGTCAGGGACGTCGTAGAAAGTTGAGTTCCGTGCACTGAAATGGCCCGAGAGGAATTTCTCTACGAAAAAAACGAAAAAAACGAAAAAAAAAATGTGGGGACGGCCGTCCTATTTGTATTTTTTTTGAATTAATAAAATAGACTATTATTGTCTTGACCTGAGCGATGTCTTTGTGTGAGTAAAAGACACGAAGCTCACTGTCACGTTTTCGTTTAAAAACTTGTTTATTTTTTGATCGTTTTTTCTTTGTGTGCCCTAAATGGCGTTTAACGATGACGTGTTTTTGCAATATAAGTTGATATTTTCCTTTTTCGTTTTCTTCATATTAAAAAGCTTTCCCCACACCCGCAACTTTCTTTAACATTCGGATTATTGAAAACAAATTTAGAAGATAATTTATCTTCTAAATAATCCATTTCCGATCCGAGCATTTTAAAAAGTGATTTAGAATCAATCAATACAGTAACTCCTATACACACAAAGCACACAAAAAATATACTTAATAATCGATATATACATACATACATATATATATACACTATAATAAGATTTACCATTTTGAGTTACTACTTCATCAAATTTTCCCTTTTCTTTAGCATATTCCAATGCATAAGATAAGCTAAAAGACAAAACTAGGAATAATTCACTAACCTAGAAAAAAAATATAAACATCATTTGTTTTTAAAAAAGGAAGAAAAACAAATTTTCACTAACCCAGCACATCCTTTATTTTTTACAGCTACTCGATTCATTTTGGGATCGGGACCTTCAAGAAGTTGACGAAGTCTTTTTATAGCTGGTGGAGTCTAATAATTATAACATGTATATTAAAGATCATTATCTTGAAGTTATCCATAATTATATATGCACAACTTACAATTGTCATTACTGCCTTTTGAATATGAGGTTTTTTGGAATTGTTACTAACTTGCTTAATTGTGGAAGTTGTTGCAGCTTTTAATGCTAATGACATTTTGCTCAAATAAAAAAAAGATAATAATTGTACTGTGTATTTATGTAGAATTGATTACAAATGAAAAGTAAAAAAAAATGATAAGTATCCAAAAAATATTAGTACTAGTAACTAGATAATTATTAATATTATTATCCTCTGATATTCGATGAATGATCTTTGTTGTACAACATAATAATTAATAAAGATATTTTGTGTTGATAATATATATTAATATAATTAATATATACACGAATTTAAGAAAAACATGGACAAGTTTACGTCAAAATTCACTTTAATTAATAAAAGCATTGGTCAAATGCGTCAGGCAAGATTCTAGAATTATATATAAATGAGATATTTTTTTCAGAAACATAAAAAATAACTTAAAATTGCCACATATATATATATATAATAATAAAATCCAAACAAAAAAGGCAGTAGCGGAAAAACTTGGAACAGCAGAGGACGTTACAGAGCTTCCTGCAGAATATTTAGAACTTGAAAGGGTAAACTTTTGATTTTTGATTAAATGAGTAATGATGATCGAACAATGATATCTTATCATTCATATTCAACTTTATTTGTTATTAATATATTTTTTAATATTTTTCAATTATCATTTTTCTTAAACAGAAAGTTGATGCACTTCATGCTATTCACACATATAACTTCATCAATCATAAAACCTACTAATACTATCACAACTTCAATTTCAACGCCGTCCAAAGCTTCA